TTAATTTGGCAAACAAAAGTTTGTCTGCATAACACCGACCTTAGTCAGCAAAAATTAGTTGCGTTCGATAACAAAATTAGCCAACAATCAAAATCAAGAGAGTAACCGAAAATTCTCTCTCAAAGATATGAAAAAGCAAAAAAGTAAACGAACAGGAAATTAGCCATCACTTGCAAAANTTATGTTTTATTTGTAAAAAAGCTGAAATTCATGTTGCCTCCATAGAAAAAGGAAAGTGAACGTTCAATGTTCGCCAGGAACATTTCTAGAAGTAAAAACTAGTTGGCGCTATCATAAAGTCACAAAGCAGACAGCCAAAAAGCATATAAATGCCAAAACTCGGAAAATGCAATTTTGTTTGTTTACAAAAATTGCAACCATACTATCATATAAGTGATTTGTGTTATTTAGTATTACCCTGAAAGGATTATATTCGTTTTTGGTTTTAAAACTATGTTGTGGCAAGATCTAATTTTTAAAATAAAATTATTAAGCCGTTTTCATGAATTTTATAAATGGATATTTTCTTTTTAAGCAATCTGGACACTCTGCTAGGCACGCGAATTTTGATACGATGCGATACCATATAAATATTTTTGCCATTCGATACCGCAACTTTTTACTTTATACCCGCCAAGAAGCCTGATCTATGATTATCGGTTAAATTAGGGGGAAAACTGACTAAAACTTTTCGTCAGTTTAGCCTTTAGTTTTGTATGGGCTTAGGGAAAAAAGTGACCACTTTTCCGGGCGTGTGATAGTGCATGGCTTTCTTGCACACACATGGGCGCATTTGCCTTACAGTATGTTCACTCGTTCACACATGTCATCTAATGGTGATGTACAAGTGAGTTTAGCGATAAAACTATTGGGAAAATATCGCGATAATTAGTTCTTTTTCTGACCACTATTCTAACCTCTAAATAATTTACAATTCGATTTAGTTTATGTGTTTGTTTTATTTGTAAAAATATATTGTCGAATATTAACATAATTTCGCAAGCTTTTTCAGAGCTACTGAGCTCTGACAATTCTTCTCATTTTTCATCGGGGTCTGAATTTTCATCGCTAAAAACAAATGCCTCAGCGCCGTTTGGTCTTTCTACCTCCATTCCTATGTTCTGCTGGGGTCCCACGATGGCGTTGCACTATATTTCAGCACTGTAGTCAGTGACCGTTGTCCATACTTACAAGTGAAAAAAGAATCGGATGTTTTGCAGAAAGGCCTCACAGCTAACATCACCTGATTTTATTTGCTAAGGGGTTATACTCAATATCTAGAAAAAAAAAAACTTTAAGCAGACTCTGACAAAAACAGCAAACAAGTTCTATTGATTGAAAGAGTTATTGACCAAAACGCTTTAAGATATTAAAATGTCTTATAAATGCAGGAATTCATTTATTTCAATGAATACTTTGCCAATTTTTTACTTTATTTTAATAACTTCAGCCTTTTACGCCAGCGAGATTTTCAAGCAGGTGAAGACGGCCGGTAAGAGTTGCTCATGTAAGCATACTTTTAATTTGTATCGGCAACCCGAATGAGTGACGTCAAAATTTGTTTAGCATGCATTTTTACACATATATCTGCATTTCGTTGATAAAGTTGCATTGTCGTCTGCAAATTCACATTTAGTGTTGCACTTTAATTTACGGAATACAATTTAAAGGNTGAATACTTTGCCAATTTTTTACTTTATTTTAATAAAATCTTCCTTTTACGCCAGCGAGATTTTCAAGCAGGTGAAGACGGCCGGTAAAGTTGCTCATGTAAGCATACTTTTTAATTTGTATCGGCAACCCGAATGAGTGACGTCAAAATTTGTTTAGCATGCAATTTTACACATATATCTGCATTTCGTTGATAAAGTTGCATTGTCGTCTGCAAATTCACATTTAGTGTTGCACTTTAATTTACGGAATACAATTTAAAGGGAACTGCACAAGGCAGAACTACAGACCTATTTTCTAGAGAAATACCATGGAACATGCAGATTAATTACTTGCTTTACTAGAAAATATGTAATATTTAAAATTAATTTATACCTTTATATACCTTTGTATATATATAGAAGGATCAGGAATTTTATGTTAAAACAATGGACTGCGGAGATGGAGTAACAATAAATCTTTTAAGTCACAGCGATCACGAGAACCGTGTTAACGGGTCAATTCTAACAACTGATAAATTATCGCTTTCCCTTCAAATGCCACCGGGCTTAAATACTGTCGCTGGAAATGTACCCACAAATGGTGGTGATAAAATGGAGTATATGACTCCCACCGGTAATGTTCAAGTAACACTCTTACATCCCCGCAGCTGCGATTTGCTAGCAGAAATGCAGAATAGTATTCACAGTCTGGCAAGTAGTAATAGCAGCGGTTATAATGGCACTCTAGATACAATCGATTCCAATTACTCTGTGCAGTCCACTTTAGAAAAAAATAAAAATAGGTCATCTAATAATGAAGGTAAAGATGCTGTATTAAATACACCCAGCACTGAGGATTTGGCCCCAAGACTAAAATCAGCAATGCAATCACCTACACAAACGCGGAATATAGAACATGAGAAAAGCACAAATGATGATAACAAGCAACCGCAAGCATGCCCCTCATCACTTCAGCAACATCGTGAGTCTATTTCTTGTGGAATCGAGGAGTCAACTGAAGTGTTGCTGGTTAACTCATCCGAGTGTGATGAAAAATATTTTGGAAGTGGTCGTGCCTACTCTGGCACGGATTCTGATGTTGAAGTGTTAATGTCAGAGGAGATAGTCGAGTCTGATTGGTCGGCTAGTGGCACAGCCACAGATGAAATGGCCCAAACCCCTGAAGAATGTACCGGAGCAAAGTTATCACCGCTAATTTTGGAAATGAAAACAAATTTTCAGCAACGGAACGATATGAGCACTTCGGGATTGATTAAAGGGTCTACTGAACAAGAAATATCTGTAGAAGACTTCAGTTCTAATAGCGCAAATGAACAACCAAGCAAGGATCAGCTTCTCAAAATAATAGGCGAGCAAGCGACATGCATTCAGAAGCTTCAAAGTACGGTGGAACGTTACCGCCGCGCCCATCAAACACTTCTTAAACATGTCGAGGCGTTACGATTGGCTTTGAATGAAACTGATTTGGAAGCTAATGATCTCCAAAAACTAGATTCTCATTTTGTACCAAACCAGAAATAAATTTTTAAATTACTTTATGTGGTACATCCAGGCATACATTGCAAATATTAGTTGCGTTCCAGATGCTACACGATTTGGAGTTGTTTTTACAGGAAGCCGTTCCAGGTGACTACCTACCATAAGGTTTATTAATCGAGAAAACAGCTGTTCCTGCAAATCGTGAAGCATCTGGAACGCAACTATTCGTGATATATGTATGTATATTCCTTATTTTTGTGAAAATGTATGTATAAATTAATATAAGCATTTCGCCTGAAAGATCAAGTTGTTGCTTTTGCTTCTTCTTATCATGATTAGTAGTTATTTTGTTTTAATACGGTGTTTACATGAGGCGATTTCACAGACAACAAAAAGCAACGAATCGCCTGGTGGTATTGAAAATGGGCGAAATGGGACAGTATCCACGCCTACCTCCCATATAACGGTAATTTTCAGAAAAACTGCATTATTTTAGTCACTACTGAAGATTATTCACTCAAAATTGAAATTTACAATAAATTTTAAATAAAAATAAGATTATAATTTTTTGGAAAATGGGCGTGGTCACGCCCACTTATGGTTACATGTGTATATCTTGGTAACCGCTGCACCAAACTTGGCCTTGGTACAGCATACCAAATGGCCGAAAGTTTTTAAAATCGGACAATAACCACGCCTCATATCATTAATCAGTAATTATTAAAGCTAATTTATTCAAAATTGATGCTTGCAACAATTCTTTACGAAGAAATAAGTTTATGATAAAATTTTGGAAAGTGGGCGTGGCACCGCCCACTTATGATCACATATATGTATCTCGGTAACCGTTCAACCAATTTGTACCAAACTCAGTATGGTTATTGTGTTTGCCACATAAAAGCAAAACGTTGAAAATTATTGAAATCGCACTAAAATTACGGCCGCTTTTCATATAACGGTAAATTTCAGAAATGCCTGAAACTTCAATATTTCGAAATTTAAGGACGCTAATTTACTCAAAATGGATACACCCCGGTTTACCATGTAGCGGTAGCTTTCGGAAAGGTGAAAAACATATATTTAATACTTGCGCCGGATATTTAATGTTCGGCTCCGCCCGAACTTAAGACTTTCTTACTTATTTAGATTACAATTATTATAATTATAATGTTAACATTTATGATTACAATTAAAGGAATCGTAATCATTTATAATGAGAGGATTACAATTAAGCAATTGTAGTTAAAATGTAATCGTAATAAAAAATTACCCAGCTCTGCAGTGAAATTGGAGAGGTTGATTAAACTAATTTTAAAATAGCCTCATGTAAAGACCGTGTAATAGAAGAATTCTAACGGTCGACAACAGCGAATTCGGTAGAGAATTTGGGGCAAATCACAAAAACCACTCGCTATGTGGGCATTTTAAATTATATTTGCTTTAAGTCCTCTTTGCTGCCCAATTTCAGGCTGGTGCCGCAGTTCATGTTGACAAGTTTCCCATAGTAACCTTAATATTTGTTTAAATATAAGCATCCTCTTTTAACATATTTTTTTTATTTTCGGTTGAAATTACATGTATTGTATTCATTCAATGCTAATTAACTTTTACCTTAAGCCGACGAAGTAATTACATCGGTGTACAATTTCACTTTGCTGGCAATGCTCATATCAACGTATTTATCGCCAATGGAAACGATTAAGCCACCAATGATGCTGGGATCCACGCGGGATGTAATTTTCAACTGTTGGTTACCTTTTAGGAATGCCTGAAATGCAGAGATTAATGAGCAATTGAAAATATGGAAATATTGAGGAAACAAAAAAAACTCATATTTTGAATACCCTAAGAGCTGATTCCAACTGTTTGGTTTGTGACGAATCCAACGGCTTGGCAGTGACGACTTCACACACAACTTCGCCACGATGGGCAGCCATAATAATTTTGAAGGCATTTATAACCGAGTCAATATTTTTCAAGCGTCGATTTTCAGCCAACAGTCCCAGAAGGTTGGCAGTAGCTGGTGCCAACTTCAACTCGCCGGCAGCCTTATTTAGTGTGTTTGCCATAAGCTTTTTGTTGATAATTGGACTGGTAATAGCCGTACGGAGCGAAGTACTTGTCTTCAAAGCACCTTGCAAGGCATTCAGATCCTTCTCCACCTGATCCAATTGCTTCAATTTGGAAGCAGCTGAGTATAGAGATGTGGCATAACGGCCTTCAAGACCAAATACTTGAATTGGTGGCTTTACAGATTGAGTTCGAGAACTAAGCGAACGGCTCTGAGGAAAAACAAACAAAAAAATATGGTTACATTACATAACCAAAAGAACACAAAATTTTCTATCACCGGGCGAGGTGAATATTAAAGGAAAAATTTTTACTACCAAACAAATTTTAATTTATCATATTAAATTTGTATTTTTAAATATAATTTCCTTGATTTGACATACCAAAACTGCAAGTTTATTAGCGGCCGCCATCCTGGAAAATCTGAAGAAATTTTTCACAAACGTCGTTCACTGGATGACACGCAGTGCTACCAACANCAAACAAAAAAATATGGTTACATTACATAACCAAAAGAACACAAAATTTTCTATCACCGGGCGAGGTGAATATTAAAGGAAAAGTTTTTACTACCAAACAAATTTTAATTTATCATATTAAATTTGTATTTTTAAATATAATTTCCTTGATTTGACATACCAAAACTGCAAGTTTATTAGCGGCCGCCATCCTGGAAAATCTGAAGAAATTTTTCACAAACGTCGTTCACTGGATGACACGCAGTGCTACCAACAGTTTTCAATTATGTAATAGGTTTTGGCAACTCTACAATCATGCTGCATGAAATTCTTATGCAAGCCATCAAGTTCTGAACACATTGAAAACGACGAGCTACCGACCACAGCTTCCAATTTGTCATCTTTATTATCTAAGCGCTTTGTCGATGGCGACATGATTTCTTTGAACGCGGCAGCGACATCATGAATTTGTATGAGTTTGACATAAAAGAAGAGGAAGAACCTTATCTGTCGCCAGAAAAATAGAAATAGATCTAATCTGGCCACAACCACAGCCGTCGCGTAGCCCGGTCGTCGCCAAAATAATTATCTACATAAGAGTACGTGTTAAAATAATTTGACAGCTGTGGTTTGTAGCTCGTCGTTTTCATTGTGTTCGGGCTATTAACGTTGCGACCGTTCCGTAATCAAGGTGGATACCATGGATTGTACCATGGCGCTGACATATAATGCAGCACATGAGAAATAGGCGGTCTCCTTTGGAAATATATTTTGTGACATAGTTTTCACATCAGAGTTTTCCTGTGGAGACAGAGCCTTATGTGTGCACACGTTGTCACAAGCAAAAATTAAGAAAATTGCAGTAAAAAGCCACCAACAAATTGTAAACAACGAACAAATGTAAACAAACGGCTTATGTCAAAGTCGCCCAACTTTTTTCCTAAATGCGATTATAACGGGCTACTAAGAAGAAGGCGTGATCTTGTATTTTTGGTTCATGTCTGCATACCAAGTTCCAGTNTAATAACCAGACATTGAACAACCGGCCCTTATTTATAGCCCAGTTACAATAGCTACACACGACGAACATGTGCGCGCACATGCTCAGCTTGCATGCTCGCCGTTAGTAGCTTGGTTTGTGAGCATCGCATTGGAAACAAAAACAACAACCTCATTATGTGTTGATGCTTGAAGTGTGCACATCGGCGGATAATTGCATCCAAGCCATGTTCGTTAATTGAATTAAAATATAAATAAATTTAAGTAACACATACATAAATAAGCTTAGTTAAAAACATTGCAACTGTATCATTCGCGTCTTTGCTAATCATCTTTACGATACCACGACAAAATCACATATGAGCCGCGCACCGTCTGTGGCAAACGACAGCGAGCATGTNAAATATAAATAAATTTAAGTAACACATACATAAATAAGCTAAGTTAAAAACATTGCAACTGTATCATTCGCGTCTTTGCTAATCATCTTTACGATACCACGACAAAATCACATATGAGCCGCGCACCGTCTGTGGCAAACGACAGCGAGCATGTTGGCGCCAGTTTTATGCATACTTGCACTGCTATACCATTTTTACGTAACATTACTTGCAAGTATTTTGAATTTTGATTTTCTACGTAAAATCCAAGTGACCTTTAAAATTTGTGATGCCACTTGCGTTTGTTTACTTGACTTTCATAATTCTCTTCACATACTAGAGATGGGCGATATCGCACATCCCCACTAAATAGTTGGGAGGCTCAATAAAGTCCGTACTATGTGGGGACTCTTGGCGCCCTATTCCCACGCCACGCAAAATTCTCCGTTATTTATGAACTATTGAGTACGTGACGACGTAATGCAGCGTTTTTGCTGCATTTAAAATGCAACATTTAGCACTTTTGAACATATGTTTTCGAAGAGCGTNCGTACTATGTGGGGACTCTTGGCGCCCTATTCCCACGCCACGCAAAATTCTCCGTTATTTATGAACTATTGAGTACGTGACGACGTAACAATGCTTATAGCTTTAAATCTTTCTGCTCAACTGCCCCGATAAGAAAATCTCACATTTTTAACTAAAGGCATGACAATAAAGCTTGTACGATCGGACGAAAATTTAATATTTTGGTGAACCTTTATTCGACATATTTAGCTCGGTAATATAGAACCTCAAATAAAGAACATTCAGTTCCGTCTAAAAAGGTACAGTTTATTCATAGTTCCCTTGGACACAAATTATAAAAACTGCAATTTTTGGTTAGCCTACCCGGCATTCATTGAACAAACTTTTTCTTCTTTAATATTTGGAGATTTTTTATTCAGAAAACTATGTATATATAGTTTTGAGCCGTGTATTCATTCATTTTGGTAAATGCTAAGTCCTAACCTTAATTTAATTCGCTTTTCACCCCAATTGCATACAAACTGTTGGCTTTTAAGTCCCATTTGTGAAGTTATCGTCCTCCGATTATCGGCACAACCCAACAGCTTTATGCTACTACGAATGAAAAAAAAAATACCACTAATTTATTCAGATTTGGTAATAGAAATCAAACATATGTATATCAAAACGTTAGTCTACTCGTTGAAGTCCAATTAAAAAAAGTTTGAATATTTAAAATTATTAGTCGATCAGACACTTTTAATTGCATTTCTTATAATTAAAGAAATCGATCTATGTAGAAGACTCCTGAAAAATTTTATTTTCAACTCCGTTTACTTTTCATCTAAAAAAAAAATCATTTCGTTAATTTAAATTTCCTTGAATTATTTACTTCGTTCTCTTACCGTCTTCATCGTCTTCTTCGCCTTCCCCATCGTCATCGTCAAAAAGTTCCTCTGCGAATTCAATATGTACATAGATAATTAAGTGACTCACATAGAATATCAATAAGAATTTGATAAAAATTTACCCTCATTGTCCTCATTATCGTCTTCATCATCTTCTGGTTCCACTTCAATATCAGGTACCAAATAATACTGAAGAGGATTGGGCCAGAGATCATCTTTGATTAATTCAGCAATCTCATCATTAACTGGATCAGTGTTGTCTGAGAACCAATCGAAAAATGTCTTGTAGTCCGCGGGTCTTTTCCGTTTGTTTTGTTGATACGGCTTGGTCATGCATGATCTTATAAGATCTTTACCGTCCTTCCATTGAATGGGTGTGCTCGTTGATGATGGACAATCACTGTTTTCCGCATCTGAACAAAAATATTGGAACATAATTATTTTCTTGAGATTTACCACTTTTCGACATTTAACTTACTTCCCGAACCTAAATGGAACTCTTTAGTAAGCACCTTATTTTCAAAATAGGGATTTTCGTCGAAGTAAAAATGAATGCGGTATCCCGATTTAATGTCTTCGAATTCCTCAACCTCCAATTTGGTAAGAGCATGCAGGCATTCCTCTTCTTCCTCGTCCAAAATAGCCGACACTTGTGGATGGTTGATAAACTTCGGATATACATGTAAACAGATCCGGTTAATAGAAAAATTATATGATCATGATGATCGGGCCGGTGACCAGAGACACTATGGATTACCATTCATACATGAATCAAGTCATAATAATTGAGGCATAGGTATGTATGTAGACCGTGATAAATGCGCTGGATGCATGTATATCATATAAGACGCCTACAGGACTTGTATGACCTTGCGCAAAGATAGTTTCGTTGCTGTCAGAGTATCATATGTAAGCATACCAAATATATGCAGACATGAAGATCATACAAAAACGATGGAAAAGAGCACATAGAACAAAATAGAATGGAAAGCATATAAGAGCGAAAATGTGTACACAAAGCACCACGCCGTTTCATGACTACCGACGACAAAAAGCACACTCAGCAACACTTGTACAGTGCTATATTGGTACGACTGCCTGCTGGTGCCTTTGCTGTTGCCAATAAAAAGGGTATGGGAAAAACGGGCAAAAAATTGATTCAGAATACACAATTTTTATGCTTTCAGCACATATACAGAAAGCAAATTTTCACTTCATGCGTACCTTAGAAAATTAATTAATAGCTTAAAAATGTTCTAGGCAAAAGTTTCGATTAGTATAACCAAAAAATGCCCCCGCGGTAACCATCGGCACTATGAAAATTAGCAGTCAAAACTAGATACTTACCGCAGTCACCCAGAAGTTGGGGATTCTCTTCACCAACTCGCTGCGTTTCTCGTAACAGGGCTTCCTTAATTTATTATATTTCTGCTCAACCTTCAGTATTTCCTCACTCGCCTTCTCATTAAGTGCATCAATTTCATTTTGACATGCATCAATTAGTTCCAAAGCTTCAGACTCCTCCTCGTTAGGCGCGTTAGCAGACGCTGCGTTGCCATCACCATCATTGGACAGCTTAGCTTTTTTGCTCGGCAGACTAGACATGTTGATAATTAGCTGCTTTAATCAACTTAAAACTTTTTTCTACTAATTTCCCACACTAGCACGTAGATACAATGGGTACAGTCGTTACGCCGTGGCCGTTTTTTCCAACGAAGAAGCGCAATTTGTAATTATTTCTTTTTTCCTTCCTGACTCCTTTCTAGCACAGTGAACAGGAAAATGCCGCACAAAACTGTTGCAAAGTGACGACGAGAAATAAATGGCGAATGCGACGAATGCCGGTAATTTGCATGCAAACATTGGTAGCACTGCGCCCACGGTTGCCACTTCCACATAATAATTCGGGTCCAAAATAAATCATAAAAGGTCCATTTCGATGAGAAAGGGCAAAACATTTCGTCAAAAGTTGTTTATTGAAACTACCTTCTTTTTTGTATCATGGTATTAAGTGCAGACTGCCAACATCGCTCAAACTGTGCCATTTTTTGGCCCTATTTTACTTCAAATGGCACTTAATTTTTCAATTTGGCACAAAGTGGCACTTTTGAAAAATATTAATATTTCAATACATTTTTGTGAAATCCTTGCGTGGAATTTTTTTCCTCAACTAAAATTTTTTAATTTCTTTACTGTATAAAACTGGTTTATCTTACTTTGGCATTGGACTTTTGTTTTAGGAATGCGTTTCCAATTTTAATTCTAAATGGGAAGAATTAAAGAGAATGGCACCTTTATTGACACTTTTATTTTTCTATTCGTCACATTTTGCATTTTTTTATCCTCAATATGGCACTTCAAGGCAAAGAAAAGTTGGCAGTCCTGATCATCGTACAGTTCCATAACTGTACTGTAACTGTAGGCATATTTTGGCAATCAGCTGATAGTGTTTTTACTTATGAAACTGTACGATGGTCCTGATTAAGTGCTCGACCAAAGCGTGCATTGAAACAAAAATACAAGATCACGCAATAACGCGACGTATTTGTAACTGGGTTTAAGAAAAAAGTTTGTGAAGCGGGTTCGTCAGCAGAGCATTTGTTTACATCACAAGCAATCTTGTCATATCTTGTGTAGTTGGATCATGCTGTGTAAAGGCGGATTCACCGTTCCTGTCCGGACACTTTTTGTTAGTAATTTTACGCGTTCCTTTCCCAACTTGTCTCACTGAGAGCGCGACAAAAATGTGCTGAACACTCTTTGTTCGAATCAAATTGATTTTGATTTTCTGTCGGAACGACTTGATGATTCGGGTTGCCGCGTTCTCCTTAATATGCGTTTGCAGTGAATTGAATGTGTTATTTGCCCTAAAAATCGTATGTAGGCAACAATATCATCAGCTGTTTGCTTCAGAACAAAATAAAATGTGCCGAACTGAACGGTGAACCGTACTTCAGCACCCTCTCCGGCAAAAATGTTTTGAGAGCAAATAAAAAGTTGTCCGGACACGAACGGTGAACCCGCCTTAAGTTTAAATTTTGACAGCGGTTAACCGACGACCGCTGCAATTCTGGGTACAGCTTAAGGCCCCGCCAGATAGAAATTCTTTTTTGCGTCACAGGAAAGCTTTTAGCACCCGATTTACATGATTTAAGTCAAGGCGAATTCAATAAGGTGGTATCGGTACGACAATAACCAAATGTACTTGTATTTTCTTTTTGCTTTTGCAGCTAGGACTATGAAAAATTTCATACGAAGGATATGAATGAGAATGATGCAATAACAGGTTCATTCCTTATCTTTTTGCACTAAAATCTGAAAAGTGTCAAAATGCAAGAGCGTAAGCAAAATTCGCTCACCAAAAGAGAATAACAGGAAAAAGTAAAGGATCGCAAAAAACCAAATTTTTAGTCCAAAGAATGGCAACAACAAAACTAACTTCATATAAGAATAGAAATGTATGTACAAACACTTACTATATCAATTATTTTTTGCCTCCTTCCAATTTCAATTCACTTTTTTATTTTTTAGATTATTCTCACCGCAAAAATTCTTCGGACTAAATCTGACTAATTTGGACTGAAGAGAGTCACTCTCACTGAGTGTTGCTCTCTCATTTTTGCTGTCATTTTGGGGTTAAGGAACGCTTTTTGGACTAACTCTGACTACTTCGGACTTTTTCTGACTGTTTCTGGGAGAAAATGAACTTGGAATGTTCGATATCGTATCGATTATCCTGAATATCGATATTTCATGGCACGATAATCGATTTTTTGAATCGATATTCCAAGGTCGATATATCGAAGACATCGATACTTTACCCACAATATCGATATTTAAGTTGAAATTTATTTTTCATCTACAAAAAAGTGTATGGGAATACACTAAAATAGGTTTAATCTGCAGCTTGTGTGATTTATTTAGCTCTTAAGTTTGACAAACCGCTTGAGTCGTCCGGCATGCCGTTTTAATCCTCAGTAAATATACAAATTGGAAGTAACACAATTTGGTGAGTTGATAGGCGGGTTTAATATTCTATTCAATTGGGAGTAGGATTTTCAACATCGATTTTTTTGATATCGATATTGTTCAGCCCGATATATCGCCATATCGATTTTACATGCAATGAAATAAATCGATTCATGATATCGATACTTTTTTAAATATCGAACATTTCTATAAAGCTCGTCGGCGATTTCAAGCATCCGTTGTTGGTTACCCCAGCAACCGAGGCAATCGGAGATCGTCGTGTCACGCGTACTTGTTGTCGGCTCGTGTTGATGGAAAATCAAAAATTTTTGATTTAATTTTAAAATTTTACTCACACACACATTCTCATTTTCAATCTCAAACAACAACAACTTTGAACAATTCCTTTTTTTTACTCTAAATTTTATACGACTTTAAAATGTTGGCAAACTTCAAAAAAAAATCATAGCCGACGCATTGAGAGAACGGTTTTACCTTACTATGCTTTTATTATGGTATAAACTTAGTATCTGACAATTTCCGGAGTACGGGAACAGGCTAATTTTAGACCAAAAATGCAACAGTGACCCATGATTCAATTATTAAAGGTTTTGTAAGTAGCTTTTTTCTAAAA